AACCGGGAACCGGGCCTGACGTCGCCCGTCACAAAGAGATCGCGGTCCCGTCTTTTTTGTTTTCTGTTGTTTGACTTTTTTGTGGGGGGGAGTTTGACTTTTCGTCTTTTTTCTCTCTTTTTTTTTTCTTTCCTTTTCTTTTTTGTTCTTTTTTCCCCGTCTTCTCTTTTTCTCCCTTTGTTTTTTTTTTTGGAACAATCGGGAACCGGGCCTGGCGTCGCCCCTCACAAAGAGATCGCGATCCCGTTTGACGGCGGGCCATCATCGGTCAAGCCCAAAGACAGAACCCCTATCCTCATCCGATCCTATCTCAGGGAAGAGGTCCCAGGCACGGCTGCAGAGTTGTACACGTCCCCAGTCATCTATATATATATATTAAACGATCTTAGCACAGGCAAAAGCTATCAAGCAACCGGTCAAAGGCGCAGAGCAGAGAGGGTAATCCTCTCAGAAGAACAAATCAATCAAAAGCTGCAATTGACGGAGACACAGGAAAAAACGAACAAATTTGGAAAAACTACCATGGAAATTTTCAACGATAGTACAGAAAAAGTTGAAAAAGACATCTTATACCTTTCTCGGCCTTTTGGCTAAGTAAGATAAAGTGTAGTATCTGTTCTGATCAGTTTAACATCTGATCCGTGGTCCATCGGACCATTTTTAAAAAAAARAAAAAAAAAAAAGAAAAAAAAAAAGAAAAAACAGAAAAGAAAAGCCATCTTATTCACCAACAGGACATCCACAGCCAAGAAACACAACAATTTTTTTTTTATTTTTATTTTTTATTATTATTTTTTTTAATGAAAAAGGAGAGGGTCCCTTTATTATTACATTGAATAGAAGAGAATAATAAAATATACCAATTCATGAGCACTCGGACACAGGAGGGGCAGGAGGGGTCATGGATATTTGGTCGTTCCCCACCTTTATCACATCTAGCAGACTCTATGGTGGGTGCATAACACCTTTCTACTCCCAATGCGACGACCCACCCTGCCCTGCCTAAGAAAATGAGACCCCTATCCAGAGCTCTTCCTGATGTGTGTAGTATCGTATAGAGCAGCACTTAGTGAAACCTTTTTTTTTTTTGTTTTTTTTTTTTCTTTTTAGTAAAACTTTTCACCTGAGGCACATGACGTGTCTAGTCAATGGTAACAAAAATTTCCTTTCAAGATAAAAGCAGGGGTGGGGGAAAAAAAAAAACAACCCCACCATGAAGCGTTGATGCTTTTTTTTTTTTTTTTTTTTTTTCGTCTATAATGCTGACGTCAACGCAATATGAAATGTCCGCTGCTTACTCTCGCTGCGAAAGAAGCGCT